GTCAACTCAGCCAAACAGGCATCATAGAAACTACCTGTTGGCATAAAACAACAAAAAAATATGAAAACTAAAAGAAATAATATAAAAGGMACATATCCCTACTACAACAAGCAAGGAACAACATGTAATTCAGCTATAAAATTAACTATGACTCATCTCACCCTTAAAGATTCCTTCAAATGTAAAGAGTGGAAGAGTAAAAGTTGACAAAGGAAGAGACTCTTTTGATTCTTCATTAGAAGTTGCACTTGATGCAGACTTTGGTGGACTGACTGATGAGCTACGTTTTCTTAATTGAGGTCTGCATAATAAAAGAAATCAGATGTTAYATTGTTCAACTATGGTCATTTCATTGAGGCAGACTTGATGAGACAGATTTTGTTGATGGATGGACTGTACAAATGCTGTTGTAAGTGCTGTAAAGTGTACCTATCATGCTGTGGCCTCACTCTGTCCATAACTGCTGTGAAGTAATCTCGCTTTTCTGGATTTCGTAGTCTATCCTCAAGGTACTTTGAAAATGCATGGGTTGAGCATAACTAAAAGTCAATGATAATTCAAAAATTATTATATTTTAAAAGATCTTTGTTGGTTGTATTTTTCATATTTATACGTAACAAACTACGTATGAATATAAAAAAAATAAAAAAATATTATATTAACCATGATTTTACAGTTATTGCTAAACTATGGACTTTACTTATAATTAACTTGCATAACTTACTGCCTTATAAAAATCCTGATCCTCCTCAGCATTGGACTCAATGAATGCAGTTAAATCAAAAAAATTCTGGCAATAAAGCAGAGAAAAAAATTAAACTATTYATAGCAATAGTGAAGTCTCTTGCATGGTTGTCTTTTTACAATAAGATAGAGTGATCAGGGGGGGATTTAATATAAAAATCTATTAACACCTACCTCCCCCTGCAAGTTGGATGCTTCTGTGGGGATATCACTAAAAGAGTGTTTCAATTTTATTAATAACTTGTCAGTGTTGATAATTTATTGCAATTGGAATATAATATATAATAAACAAGAAAATAACAATAATTATTGCAACAAGTACCTCGAGGGAAGCATTTTAGCCATCATTTCCAAAGATGCTACAAGAGAAACAATTCAACATTWACTATAGYGTTCCAGGTTGTGTCAGAGATAAGATATCTTTTTCTTAACCTGTCAAGACTGCATTGTTGAACTGTGTCACAAAGCGATGCCTTTCCTTCTTCAAGTCATGTACAGTTAGAAATGTTGGTCTGCAGAACAGCAAGATGGCAGAAGTATTYATTTACTTTACATTGAAATCTAATGTGTAATTATTTTGAATYTACCTGCTTATATTGTGCAAGTCAAACAATGGTGAAACATTCTTCATTCTGTGGAAAGACATAAAATATAGTCTTTGAGAAATGAAAAACGAAATTAAAGTATACAGGAAACAGCTCAATAAGAGGACAGGACAAGAAGAATCAAGCATGGCAGCAAAATGAATGAATGATCAAACCTGGCTTTRAAAGGGTCAGCAACACGTATTGGTATCCTTTGAACTTCCACACTGTCRCCCTGTATTATCTTGCCTTCGTCAATATTCACAATGATGATGTCTGCCATCTTGTCACACATATAAACYCAATTCAGTACTTGACACCAAAAATACCAAAATAAAGGCATTCATACCTTACCTCATGCATAGACATTGCTCTTTCAATCTGTGGTTTAAGGCTGGTATGGCATCCTATTATRTACACACCAGGAGCTTCCGTCATGTCTACAAGATTGCTGAAAATAAGGCAACAACATTTACATCATTCAAATGCTTTCATTAGGGGTCCTTGAATAAGGTTCCTTTCTTCTTTGGGAGGGTGGTTCTTTACAGCTTTTTGCATTGGTGTTCCTGTGCTTTGATATAAATGTACCCTTTGTGGTATATGGGAAGGAATAAGAGGCTGGATCGCAGCAGGGAGATTTTGCTAATTGGCTGTAAACAAACAGTACTTACTCATTTGCTAATTGGCTGTAAGCAAACAGTACTTACTTTGGTAAAACAGGGACATAAGTCCAGCTCCAAGAAAGAGGTTGAATGAAGGAAAAAATACTCTGAAGAAAGACAGGAATTATCACCATTAAAAAATAAGATAGTGAGATAAGGATCGAAATCCTCTCCTTGAATACTTACTTCAATGACTAATGTTAACATGGCATACTTTGATGACATGAAAATAAGTCTTTGTTGGGTGAGAACRCAGCTCATGAGAAGAAGAATATCATCCAAGGAAAAATGCAAGAAAGGATAATGCAACTCAATGTCTATAATCCTTTTATCTGAAGAAAAATAGTAAAGAAAATGCTTAAAAAAATAACAACTATTTAATAGTAGATTAGAAAAAAGCAATACTTGCCTGGTTCATCAACAGGAGCAACAGTATGYATTACACCACTCAAGGAAAATTCCTTCAAATGGTAAAGTAAGCAATTATTCTCAAAACAAGCYTTAAACTACAATGTCCTTGGAAAGTAAACAATAACAGTATATTACTTACTATTGCCAGAGAGCCAGGAGGTGGAATAGGAACCATTGCCAGTTGGGAAACAAACTGCATAAGACCACTTCTTAATTTYCTTGGCTCATCATATAGATTT